CTGAAACTTGTCCTCTGGCCTCTACACATGTGCTGTGGCATGTGTGCACGCAGGTACACATACCCTCCAATAACCACACACAAACAGAAAGGACAGATGACCTAGGAGCTGGACTGACACCTGGCACTGCCACTTCCTTCATTTTGATATCGGAAGCGGTCGGTGCCTTTAATTCCTCCTTCACCAGGTACAATGAGCAAGGACAGTGACAATACAGAGAAATGCACACTAGCCCCTGATATGGTCAGCCCCTTCTAGATATCCCATAAGCCTCCTTAGAAAGAGGCAGAGCAGAACCTGGGTGGTGGGTGGCTCACACTTTTAATCCCAGCACTAGGAAGGAAGAGACAGGAGGATCTCATGAGTTTGAGGCCATTCTGGCCTACAGAGCGAGTTCCAGGATAGCCAGGGCTATAAAAAGAAACCCAGTCTCGAAAAACCAAAAAAAAAAGGGGGGGGGGAGGCAAAGCAGGGCCAGCAGGTAGCTCACCTGCCATCAAGTCTTAGTTCATCCTCAGGACCCACATGGCAGAGCAGAAAACCAACTCCCAAGCGGTCCTCTGACCATGACATGACATTGAGTTTGGGTGCTCATAACCATGGATGTGTGCACAAACACAGAAAAATAAATAATGAGGTGTAACTTCTTTAAAGAGGCACCTGCGGTCTAGAGAGATGGCTCAGTGGTTAAGAACACTTGCTGCTGTTGCAGAGGACCCAGGTTCAGTTCCCGACCACACACACCTAACATCTACAACTCCAGTTCCAGAGGGTTCCACACCCTCTTCTGGCCTCCTTGGTCACTGCACACATGTGTACAGATACTCATGGAGGCAAAACACCCATACACATAAAATAAAAACTTGTCAATTGAGTACACACTGCTAATGCCAACTCACAAGGTAGAGGCAGATGGATCTCTGAGTTCAATGCCAGTCTGGTTTACAAAGTGAGTTCCCAGACAACCAGGGTTATACAGTGAGCCCCTTTCTCAAACAAAAAAAAAATAAAATAAAATAAAAAAATAAAAAAAAACCCACCTTGAAAAAAAGGCAATCTAAGTGGGAGGAAAAGTAAAGACAAAGGTTTGAGAAAACACCTCATCATTGCAAAAACCAGAACTTCTGAACATTTTGTGACTATATACCAGTAAGTTCCATTTCAAAAGAAATGAGCAGCTGTAAAACTGATTCTAGTTGAAAATCTTAAGGTTAAGATCAAAGCCTCCATACCCACTGCTCCTGCTCTGTAATTCATGCCCTGCACAGGAAACCTGCTCCTTCAGTGACTGCCACACAGCCAAAGGTAAAGCCCCACCCTTCTCAGATCACAGAGAGGGGATTGCTGGAGCCCTTGACTTCCTCCTGCTCAGTTCCTTTACTGGGGACTGCACTCACTCTAGCCTGATCCACAAGCCTACAATTATGGAGAGGGGGGTTGAGCACTGCTGACTTGTGCTCAAGTCATCACTGCTAGCTTTTAAAGCTTTATCTTCCCTTAGAGCCAAATACTAGAAACTGGCTGCAACACCAAATTCTCCAGAAACTTTTTATTCAAGTCAAATTTTGGGAACGTGGCTCCAATGCATCTTTCTCATAGAAGTTGGTAGAACTATCCAAACAATGCATATGGAATGGTAGTGCCAAATGACTCATAAACTAAAACCAGCGTCTCCACTTTGGTGAAACTGCAGGCATTAAACGGTTGAGCAGACTCAAGCTTTCTTATGCAATCTGTTGACACAAGAAAAACTAAATCACTAATATTCTTTTTAAATATCAAGAAATACAGACCTCCCATACTATAAATGATTCAACACAGACCACCTACAAATGGATAATAGTTAGCACTGAGTTTTTAAGGCAGCTCAAGCTTATGTCTTAAGGGTTTTCCTATATGGCTTGTTTTCACAAGATCTAAGGGTAGAAGTCATACTTGCACTGGTTCTGGAACCCCAACAGCTGCCTAGCCATCCAGGACCTGCTGCACCCCAGTGCCTAACCACCCAGTATGTAACTATACTCCGGTACCTAGTCTAACCATTAATGCCTAGTCACTGTCACATTTCTAGGCCTTCCTTTCCTCACTCTTACCTCTTGGGAAGAACTTGTTTCGTTTCCAGGTACAACAGCAAAGTGACCTAAACTACCAGTAGTACAAGGTCTCAAGTCAGTTCTAAGCCACCGAAACAATAATCTTAGACTGTATTGTCATTCGCACTTAAAATACAGGGAGACACATTCATCCCTCTGGGCAGCCTCAGCTTACAATGGCTGTTCAGCATCCATGAATGAAGCAGCTAGGTACCTACCCCAAATAGCTGGACAGACTTCAAGGCCTCAGCTTACCAAGTTCTCTTCCACTGGATTTAATGTGGGCACTTGGAGAGTTTGTCTTTGCCTGGAGTTATTTATATTCCTTGAAAGCTGACACATAGTTTTAAAGATCGAATATGAAATTGGGCTCGGAAGCCTTTCCTAGCTGGGATCTAAAATATGATTAAAGCAAGGGTGCAGTGACAAGCAGCACACAGCAGCTTCCCAGGCCTGGCTCACAAACAAGGGAATCACAACAGTCAGCCCTCATAACCTTGCTGTCCCGCTTACTCCTGACGGTGGTGTGCAGACACTGCTCTCCAGCCAGCAAACACCAGCTCCATGGATTATCAACTTTCCTTTCACTGTTTTCTTGATTCAGTTACTCCTACTAAAAATATCCAATAGGGCTGGGCGGTGGTGGTGCACGCCTTTAATTCCAGCACTCAGGAGGCAGAGGCAGGTGGATCTCTGAGTTCGAGCCAGCCTGGTCTACAGAGCAAGATCCAGGACAGCCAGGACTGCTTACACAGAGAAACCCTGTCTTAAAAAAAAACAAAAACAAGGCCGGGCGGTGGTGGCGCACGCCTTTAATCCCAGCACTCGGGAGGCAGAGCCAGGCGGATCTCTGTGAGTTCGAGGCCAGCCTGGGCTACCGAGTGAGTAGGCACAAAGCTACACAAGAGAAACCCTGTCTCAAAAAACAAAAACAAAAAAACAAAACAAAACAAAAAAAACAACCCCCCTCAAAAAGGGGAGGGGGGCAATATGCATTTAGAATGACATAAATGGAAGCCTGTCTCTCCATCCCTCAGACTGTCTGATTAGAACTGGTAGTCTTTTGGTGTAAAGATTTATGCTGGCTGGCCTAGAAGTCATAGGGATCCACCTGGTAGACTAGGTTGCTGGCAACAGGTCCCAGAATAGACCTGTCTCGACCCCCAATGTTGGAGTTACAGGTACACAGTCCACATCTGGCTTTTTTTACATGGATGCTGGAAATTCAAACCCAGATCTTCATGACTGCAAAGCAAGTGCTCTTACCTACTGAGGCACCTCCCCAGTCCTGCAATGAATACATTCTAGGAGAAACACACCCAATATGTATTAAAGAAATCAGGCAGGGCATACAGGTGTGCAGCTAGAACCCAGCACTTGGGAGACTGGCAAGGAGACTAATCTGTGAAAAGCTTTGTGCTACAAAGTGAAGCTGAAAAGAACAATGGGCTGGAGAGACGGCTCAGAGGTTCAGTGCACTTGTTGCTCTTAAGAAGATATGGGTTCAATTCCCAGCACCCACACATGGCGCACATGCAGGCAAAACACACATAAAATAAAATGAGTAAGCCTTTTAAAATTTTTTTAATTAAAATAAAAAGAAAAGAAGAAAAAAGCACGGAGGGAGTGGTTGCAAAGAAGAAAGTCACTTTTCTTTAAAACTATGATCCCTAAGGCTGGAGCAGTGGCTCAGCGGCTTAGGAGCCCTGACCGCCAGTCCAAAGGACCTGGATTTCATTCCCAGCACTCACATAAGGGTTTACAACCAACTGTACTCTAGTTCCAAGTTTGATGCTGTCTTCTGGCATCTGCTGGCACTAATACACAAGTGATGCCTAGACATACAAGAAGGCAAAAGACCCACAAACATAAAACTTAAAAATTTTAAAAAGTAATAATAAATTATTCCAGTGGCGTGTAGTGGCACTCGTAATCCCAGCACTCAGGAGGTGGAAGCAGAGGAAGAACCACTTTGAAGATAGCCTGGGCTAAAATGCACCTTCAAAACCAGCCTGTGCTATAATATGAAGCCCAAAACAATAAAAATAAAAAGATTCTATCCATTTTCTCACTTGAAGAGACTTCAGAACACAAAGAATACTCAGAATAACATATCTCTATAAACAGGGACTAAAATGTTCCCTCTGTTTTGGCTTTTTTGGAGACAAGGTCTTGCTACTGAAGCCAGGCTGGCCTCCAACTGCCACTCCTCCTGCCTCAGCCTCCTGAGAGCTGGAATTACAGGTATGTGTTTCCACACACAGCCATAATTGTGATATTTCAAAGCCAAGACTTGCAGTCACCCCCAGCCATCAGGAGGATACACCTTAATATCTGTTGGGACTCTGAGCACTCCAAGGACACACTGCAGCAGTCTCGGGAGCTGAAGACCTGTTTTTTGCACCTAAGCACCCAGCTCCTGTGTCTCTTGACTTCCTACCTTCAGCTTGGTGCTGAATAAAATCCACTCAAACCAAAGTCACTAAGGGAAGGGAGGGGGGCTGCATTATTTTTTTAATGCCTTTTTTCTATACTGATAGAGAAAAAGAACAAATTATACAAAAAGTATACCCTAATTACAGCACAGGACACATCTGTCACACATTCCAACACTAAAGCACCACAAAATGGAAATGAAATTTGTCAATAAGAACTCATTTTTAAAAAAGCAAGCAAACAAACAAACAAAAAACCATGAGGTTTTCCCGCTTACATAAAGGTATGGCACCTTTTCCTTCCATCTTTCTTCTTGTGTATATTGTTTTACAACTGGATGTTAATGCATATGTGCCCTTTACTTCCTGTTACTACACAGGTCAGCTACCACTGTTGTGGGTACCACTGCACTACACAGTGTGTCCCTAAGACCTGAGCCCATCTCCATTTAGCCTGTCTGTTTAACTGTACCTGCAATCTTTATGGCTACGGGATCCTCTGAAACTGGAACAAGCCCTTCTTTGACTTCCACCTGCTTTTCAGAGGCCAGGGGAGATGGGACAGGGGGGGAACACTTAGTTTCCACAAATGCCATGGGTGAGGAGGAAGAGGGCTTAGAATCATGAAAGAGGCTAGCCCAGGACTTTGTGGGCTGGCTAATGGGAATGGCCCCAGATGCAGAGAGCACACTATCAGCAGGAAGTGACTGGCTCTCAGGCTTTGCAGGGTCCAAGTCTGTGCTTTCCTCAGTGTGCAACTCTACCCCATTGGCAGCAGTGTCCTCGCCCAAGGATTCAAGTATTTTTCCATTAGCAACTGCAAGATTCTCAGTAGTTTCGGTGCCAGCGTAGGGCTGAGTCACAGCTGTCCTTAGAAGGCTGTCTGCAGGGAGGCAGGGTTGCTCCAAGTCAGTTCCATGGCAGCCCTCGAGCAGCCCTGCAGTCCTGCCATCACCACCTAGTGTTCTGGGGAAAGGACTGTCAGGCACAGGGTCACTGATAAAGTCCATGGGATTCTGAGGGCTGCCACAAGTCCTGGGCATAACTGAAGGAAGCATATCGACCATGAACTCAGCATCCTCCACACCCACGCTGTTCGTGACTGAACTGGCATGGCCGTTGACCAGGGCAGCTGGGGAAACACCCTCATCACCACCATCTTTCAGGTAACTGTAGTATCCAGGGGGGCGCTTCTTCTTCTTTTTACGCTCCCTTTGACCAAGACCACCAGCACCACCATCATTCTCCAAGGTTTCTGCCTCCACAGTAGAGCTGTTTTCCAGAGCCAGGGCCGAGCCTGGGTACTGGTCAATGGAGCTGTAGTTCTCATCTTTTTCTATGCCCTCGGGGATCTTTTTGGAAGTTGTGCAACCAAGAATAAACTCAGGTGCCTGAGGGTTCAAGGTGCTTGAAATACTGTAGCTAGGGGTTCTCGGCAAACCATCACTTGGTTTGATGACTTCGTCAACACCGAACTCAATCCTCTGATGTTCTTGTCCTGCTGAGAAGAAATAATCAGTCAATGTGCATCCATTCCAAGCACAGGGTGCAAGCTAAATAGTATCAAAATCATTCATCCTCTTTGAGAGGTGACACCTTGTATTCTTTTCTGAAACAGTATATGCCTATTTTAATAATCTGTTGAAAATGACATCTATAAAACAAGAGTAAATCGGGGGTATGAAAAATAGAGGTTTATCCTTACCTGTGGTTATCTAGGTAACTAAGAAAGACTTTCAAAAGACAAAAAAAAAAAGTAGAAATTAAATTAAATTTCTAATTAAAAAATTAGTGGGACATGTGATTCCAGTACTGGAGTGGTAGAGGTAGGATTAGGAATCCAAGATCACACACCATTACATGGCAGCCGTACTATATAAACAAAAAAGTATCTCATTGCTTAAAAATATTCCTCAGACATACAGTTCAGTGGTAGATAGCATCCTTACTCGGCTTTAATCACACCTTGTTTAAAGAAAAAACAAAAACAAAAGCATATTGGCTCACATCTGTAATCCCAGCAAGCAGAACCGAGGCATGCGAAGTCCAAGTTCCAGGCAGGACTAGCCGGTGAGACCGTGGGCCTCCCTGCGAATGGACTTCCTCGTGCTTGCTTTATGCCCAGGCTGAGAAAGTGTGGGCTCTGAGAGCACAACCTGAGACACTTGTGCATCAGCTTCTCCCTAGAAGCTGCAGAACCATGAGCTCTGAGGCAGAGCCCTGAGGCAGTCTGTGTGCAAAGTCAGGCCCTTCCAGTGCCCTTCTCTTGGCTCTCTTGGATCCCTCCAATGAACACCATAACTGAGGTCTAGATGTGGCCCTTGCCTCAACAGCAGCTAACTAGTAACTAAATTCACCCTGGATTGACCCCAGAAGTGGTAAAGACACTTTCAGGCCTACAAAAACAAGTTAGGAGTGAAGTGAACTTTGGGGGAATCTGAGACAGGATTAACTATGTGGCCCAAGGATCACAGGTATGCAACAATGTACCATTGCAAGTTCCAATATTCATTGTTTTTAGTTAACCTCACCCTGAACCTCCCATACATGTCAAGGTGAACAGTGTATCTTAGTCCGTGAAAGAAGACTACTAGAATCAACTATGTCCTTTCACATGGAAAACCACTGTTGTTTGATATTTTGGTGAAATGGTCATGTATATTAAATTAATGAAAGGAAACAAGACTTCAAGTCTGGTATAGGTTAGCAATAGTTTTCAAGTCCTGCATTTCAAGGACAGAATTATAACCCCAAAATTGTGTTCTAAGTATGTTTTGTTCTAGAGGGCTTAAAAGACTTTTCACAGGAAGGGAAAAAAAAACCCCGCAGATTCATCAAGAAGGCAATGACACGCTAATTAGATAAAGGAGGAAGAGGATGTCCATAGCTGGGATGGGAAGAAAGGCTATCCTGTACCAAACAGTGACTGTAAGACCACAGCAGGTTTGCCTCTGTTTGCAGCTGACCAATGAGCAGTTTTGTTTCCTCACTTTGAAATGGATTACCAAAGAGTAAAGACTTCTATTACATCTGGAGGCAGAGGTCTATTCCACGATGCTTCCAGGTACATCTAATCCACAATGCTTGGAGGTACCAGGCACAAACACTGAAGTGTGTGTGTTTGAAGGAAGACTACCCTTTGAGACATGTATACTGTGAAGTCATTCAGAATTACTGTGCTCTGTGCTATGAAGCTTACAGAAGATTGACTGTTCCCAACAGAAATTGCCTTCCACATCCATTCTTAATCTCATCAGGGAACACTATTCTAGGATGTGACACGGTATCAGAGAAACACTCTAGCATCTACCCACCATGGTACTTCAGGATAGTTCTTATTCTCACAAGGGTACTGACAGCAGAAAGCTCAGACTAAGACCCGTCTTCAGGTGAAGAAAGGAGAGGCCTGCAAACATGCCTCTGAAGAGGAGTCAACCCCTTGGCGTGTGGGCAGTATGTCTGCCAGGGAAGGAGAACAGCTAGAAAAATAAGGGCGTTCCAGGCTGGGGATGGATTGGTAGTTAAGAGCACTGGCTGCTCTTCCAGAAGACCCATGTTCCGTTCCCAGCACCCACATGGCAGCTCATGTCCTCTTCTGGCTTTTGTGGGCACCAGGAATATACTTAAAAGGTATGCCACACACATAATTTTCTTTAAAAAACAAAAAACAAAACAAAACAAAACAAAACAAAAAAAAACAAGGGCATCTTAAGACAACATTTCTCAAAGTGAGTTTCATCAAGGACATATACCTCCATGGTGTGTTAGAAATTTCCCAAGCAGGGAAGACAAAGTTCCTGCTTAGGGAGTTTACATTTGCTGACAAGACCAACGTGAATTATCAAAGATTAACAGTGCAAAAGAAAGGCAAGAGGACCAGGCGGTGGTGGTGGCGCACACCTTTAATCCCAGCACTCAGGAGGCAGAGCCAGGCGGATCTCTGTGAGTTTGAGGTAAGCCTGGTCTACAGAGCGAGATCCAGGACAGGCACCAAAATGAAAATGAAAATGAAAATGAAAATGAAAATGAAAAGGAGAAGGAAGGAAGGAAGGAAGGAAGGAAGGAAGGAAGGAA